TTGGTACTGTCATAAGAACAGAGAAGTCGACCTATGGAATCAAATAGAAGACCCGGGTATTAACCCACAAACTTATGAACACCTGATATTTGACAAGGGAGCTAAAGGTATACAATGGAAGAAGGAAAGCATCTTTAACAAATGGTGCTGGCATAACTGGATGTCAACCTGTAAAAGAATGAAAGTAGATCCATATCTATCACCATGCACAAAAATCAAGTCCAAATGGATTAAAGACATCAACATTAATCCGTCCACTTTGAACCTGATAGAAGAGAAAGTGGGAAGTAATCTACAAGATATAGGCACAGGAGGCCTCTTCCTAAGTAGGACCCCAGTAGCACAGACAATAAGAGAAACAATGAAAAAATGGGATCTACTGGAACTGAGAAGCTTCTGTAAAGCAAAGGACATTGTCAGTAAGACAAAAAGGCTGCCTTCTGACTGGGAGAAGATCTTCACCAACCCCTCATCAGACAAAGGTCTGATCTCCAAAATATGGATGGAAATAGAAAACGCTTTACTGAGTGAGGTAAGCCAGACCCAAAAAGAGGAACACGGTATGTATTCACTCATAAGTGGATTCTAACCATCATTCAAGGTCTTTGAGCCTATTATTTGTGATCCTAGAGAAGCTAAATAAGAAGATGAACCTGATGAAGATTATTTAGCTATCTGTCAGGAGGTAGGAAATAGACAAGAGTCCCAGGTAACCTCGGGTGCATGGGGGGTGGATGGGAGGGTTGTTGGAAGGGGAGAGGGTTAGAGAGAAGGGAGTACGGGAGGAATGGGGAAAGCTCAGTGGACCGGGATGAGGGGGGTGGGAGGAAGGATGAATATGGGATCAGGGAAGAATATATTTCAACTAAGGGAGTCATTTTAGGGTTTACAGGAGACTTGATTATATATGGGATCCCAGGTCCAAGGAGAGATCCCCAGATTGTTCTCTGGACAGAGGAGAGGGTGCCTGAACCGGCCTTGGCCCATAACCATACTGATGAATATTTTGCTTATCACCATAGATCCTTCATCTGGTGAAGGATGGCGATACAGACGGAGACCCACATTGGAGCACCGAACTGAGCCCCCCAAGGACCAAATGAGGAGCAGAAGGATGAAGAAAATGAAAAAGGAAATAAGGACTGCAAGGGATGCTATCACCCACTGATACAAGGGGACGGATCTAATGAGAGTTTACCAAAGCCAGTTGGACTGGGACTGAATGAGGACGTGATCTAACCAGATTCTCGGAATGTGGCCGGATTCTCTGAATGTGACTGGCCCGAAGTCTTTCTGAAAAGCCATTGACTATGACACTGGGACTTGTTTCCTCTGCATAGACTGGATTTTGGGGATCCAGTCTGTTTGGATACTCACCTTCCTGGACCTGGAGGGAGGGGAAAGGAACTGGAACTTCCCACAGGGCAGGAAACCCTGACTGCCCTAAGGGACGAAGAGGGAGGAGGAGAGGGAGTGGGGGGAGTGGGAGTGGGAGAGGGGCGGAAATGGAAACTTTTATAATTTAATAAAATTACTTTCCAAAAAAAAGAAGAAGGTATAGTGAGACTTACTGATTGACTGATTAATTAGGACTTCAATGATATGGAGAACTTGACCTGAGGTAAGTAGCAGAAGTTGCCACAATTCAGACACCTTATATTTCTACTAACATATTTGAAAAGTGTATCGATTTAAGACTTCTTTTGGTTCTTTAGCAGATAAACTGCATGAAATTGTCACCTCTTCAGAAGATGATATTTGGTCCAACCTGGACATGTGCTCCTGGGCCATGTTCATTATTAATTGACTTCAGAATAACTATTCCTTTTTTATCTTAGTGATGAGAATTATTTTTACATCATCATTTCACAGAATGACCCAAGAGCCTCTCTTTTAATTAGCATCAATTTTAAAATGAGAGAACTAAATGATAGCTCTAGGGCTCAGAGAATAAAATTTCTAGTCAGGTTGAGTAAAGGACCCTGGAACCAAGAAATACAAGCTCCATTATTTTATGCTAAAGGAACACACAAATACCTATCTTGTTATATAAGGGATAATAATTATGCAAACATGCCAGGGGCTTTGTATCCACCACCACCACCAATGCTGTAGTTACCTATGAGAGTTAATCAATAAAGGCTCATTGCTGTTAAGATTCAACCTGAAGCAAGAATGTAATGCTAGGAGGTCAAGGCTCTGGGCACTATGTGAGTTTATGAATGAGGAAGAATTAAAGAGCAGATTGTAAAATGGCCCCTAAGGGAAAGAGAATCAGAAGGATAATTTCTTTTTTTTTCTAGGCCAGTGATCCACAGGGAAATTGAATGGTTATAGAATGATGTAAACAGAGGAGTGTGTCTAATGAGAAGACATAGGGAGCTTCAACTGCCTCCTCCGATGACCCGAAGACTGAGCAGCATTGGGCTAGATAACACAAGGGGTGTCTTTTGAGGTCTTAAGTCTCCTAAGTATCAAACTCTTGACTTCTTACTGTTGTCCTATACTGTGAGTCAGACCTTAAGTCTCTGGCTCCTCAGTCTTTTAGAAAAAGCCTTGACCTTCATGAGGAGACCTTCCTCCACATTCTTGGGTCAAGGTGAGTCTGAGAGCTCAGTGATTACTTCAAGGAAGGAGAAGAAAATGTAACCTGAGAACACTTACCTAAGGTCAGTGAGAGCCAGGTCTGCCTAGCCCAGAGTGAGATTGCTATGGTTTGTTGCTTTGTGTTTCACTGGTCATTCAAAATATGCCATTTATTTGTTATTACTAATTTGCTCTTATTTTGTATGTATTCATAACGTTAAAACAAGAAATGAATGTTGAACGGATTACACCAGGTTTATGGTTGAAAAAAATTGATAGCAGGATTAAAATGATTCCAGTAAAAGAACATAATTCTGTGGATCTTTGCACTTACAGGGAGTTGATAATCAGAGTATTAGTTATGTAGTAGAACTTCTTTCTGTTTAACATGAGATATACTCAACTATTATTGTATTGAGGAGAAGAATGCAGAGAAGGGAGTTCTTGAAAATCTTACCTAGCAATATAAAAGTTCTTGATATACTATTCAGTCCGTATTATCCCTTCCTTTGGGTATCCACATGGAAACTACTTTATATGTGAGTAATATATGCCTACGAGCTTAGTTCATAATTATTTCAACACCTGTCAGACTGTGTATATTTGTTAGTCATTTCCTTTATGTGGTGCAAGCCTCTAATCAAGCCTTTGCTTTGTATATTGAGGCAGAACACTTTCAATCCGTTTCCTTGCTTTCTTTCAAAGACAATATTCATTTTTTTGCCTGCACAGATTACCCATTTGGCATATAGCCCTTTAGAATGTATTTTGCCCATTTCCATTTTATCCCCATTCATCACTCTTTTCATATAAATGTGTGTATATGTCCACTTAGATGAGTTGAGGAAGTTAGTAAAATTTAGCCCTTTGCTTATTTGTCCATTACAAAATGAAAATTCCATGTATCCCTATACAATAAGAGAAAAATGGCATGACTTGTACTTAGTGGGAGTAGACCATAAGGAGTATATCCCTAGCAACAGAGGCTCAGATGCAATGGCTTGGTCGTAGTATTGGGGACATGCATACTTCTCAGAGCAGGGATGCCTGGACCCGTGTCCTCCAATATAACTCTTATATTATAGAAAGATAGCTAATTTAATTTAATCATAGTATGCCATGTATCCACTTTGCTCAGAGGACGTCTTCACACTAAAATGAATAATAAGCCATTAACACATATATGAAGTAGGTCAACTTCACAGTTTCTCTCCCAGTTTGGAAAGCTCCACATTCCTCACCTCCCTGTAATGCCATTTGTCACCACTTCCCTTTCTTGTTGACCTAACACTGGCTCCTTTACCCGTGTGAACAACTGAAAGAAACACCTGCTTCAGGGTCTTTTTGCAGGTTGTTCCTCTAACAGGTGAAAATTTCTGAGAGTTATTACCTCTTCCTCCCTTTACCTTTATTCTTCATCATCTTCATCTTCATCATCATCATCATCATCATCATGGTATTATCATTTGTTTCCTCCTCTTCCTTCTAATTGCTATCTATACATTGCACAACATGTTGGATTTTTATTATGATGTATTTGTGTATCATATACTTTTTTTAGTTCTTTTAAACATCTGTTTATTTGTGTTTGGAGGGCTGAAGAGATGGCTCAGATATTAAAGGCCAGGCTCACAGCCAAAAATGTTTTGTGTTTGGAGATGTTCACAGAGAACAGAGGACAACTTGAGAGGGTGCTTCTTTCCTTCTACTGTGTGGGTGAGACCTTTCTATTGACTGCAGATTACCCAGTTTGCTGGTCTTTGCTTAGATCATCTTCTCTGCCAGCAACATCTGGGCATCTATAAAAATTATTATTTATGGGTGTTAATGGTACAGTTTATTGAGAGTGTGCTTTGTATGCCCATGAGTTCACACCCCAGCACCTCACACATTCTTCTTATAGATGCTTTTCTTCATAACATTGTAACCATCTTTCATGGTATTACTTATTTCAAAAAAAATTAACTGAGGTATAACTACTTTTAACAAAGATAAGAAATATTTAATTCATATAATATGATTAGTTGTCTATATGAAAAATATGTTTATACATAAAATGATATACAATTAATTTATTTGGATGTCATCTTTGTTTGTCATCAATGTGTGGAAAATTCTGTTTCACAACAGCCTCTGGTCACAGTGGAGACAACACTCGGAACAGGGGTGAGTGGCAGTCTACACATTGTTCAACCTTAAGAAATAATTGTCATGAAATATGTGGTATGTATAGCCTCTCAGGAAAATGCCACAGTGTAAGACAGGAATTCCTAGTCAGTACCAGCACTAGAGATTGTCTTGAGGTAGCAGGTAAAATGAAGAAACTTGTGTGCCATAGGATGCAAATTGTATTGCCTATTACTTTCAGCAACGTCAATTTTCATGAATACTTCTCATGCTATCTTTTGTCACAGTGGCATAAAGCACATGGAGCCAAGAAACAATACACACGTTTTAGAATTTGTTCTATTGGGATTTTCACAGGACCCAGACCTGCAGCCTATTATATACGGCATTTTCCTCTCCATGTACCTGATCACTGTAGCTGGAAACATGCTCATTATTCTGGCCATCATCTCAGATGCCAACCTGCACACGCCCATGTATTTCTTTCTCTCTAACCTGTCATTTGTGGATATTTGTTTTACCTCCACTACTGTCCCAAAGATGCTGGTGAATATTCAGACAAAGAGAAAAACCATTCAGTATGCAGAGTGCATCACCCAGATGTACTTTTTTCTGATTTTTGTGGAGCTGGACAACTTCCTCCTGGCTGTGATGGCCTATGACCGCTATGTGGCCATCTGTCATCCCCTACACTACACTAGCATCATGAGTCGCAGACTCTGTGGATTTCTGGTTCTGGTATCTTGGATTGTGAGTCTCCTGCATGCCTTGTTACAAAGTGTGATGGTGTTGCAGCTGTCCTTCTGCACAGACTTGGAAATCCCACACTTCTTCTGTGAGTTGAATCAGGTGGCCCAGCTCACCTGTTCTGACACCTTTCTTAATGATGTGGTTATGTATTTCGCACTAGTGCTTTTGGCTACTGTTCCTCTATCTGGCATTCTTTACTCTTACTCCAGGATAGTGTCCTCCATACGTGCAATCTCCACGGCTCAGGGGAAGTACAAAGCATTCTCCACCTGTGCATCCCATCTCTCCGTTGTCTCCTTATTTTACTGCACAGGCCTAGGAGTGTACCTCAGTTCTGCTGCAAGCCACAGCTCACAAGCAAGTGCAACAGCCTCCGTGATGTACACAGTTGTCACCCCCATGCTGAACCCCTTTATCTATAGTCTGAGGAATAAAGATGTAAAAAGAGCCCTGAAGAGGCTTTTAGTTGGGAAACTGTGAATGGTACTTTTACCCTGGGTTGAAGAACTTAGCTTTATTGCAGTCCTCAAAGCTTAAACCTCAGAAGCTCGGATTTCGGGATTAGATGATAGAAGCAGAATATGTTTTATTTATTTCTGGAGTTTGCATTACCTGGGTCCAAGCTCAGCACTCTTTACAAACCTCTATTAACTGTTCTACCCTGTCTCATATTCATATTTCTTCCATCTGTTGTCACAATCTTCCAGTTATTTCAAACACCAGATCAGAAATATGTGGAAATACATTTACCTCATCTGAAATATGCATTTAAAGTTATATACCAAATACATCTTAAAAGTACTTTCTTCTAACATTACATAAATTATGTCCACAAATATTTATTTTGCTTTACAGAAAGATATGATATACATATAAATGCTATATGAATTTTACTGTATATGTGATAATAAAACTACACCTAGCAATTAATGCAATTTATATGCTTGTTGTAGAGGAAGGTCTGAGGTCATAGCTCTTCTTTGCCTTTTTGCATGTTAAATTATGTACATAACTACCTTGACTGTTCTTTATAACATCGGCTTTAATATACCAGTTGCCTTAGAGTTGAAGAGTGCAGCCTTTAACAGTTCATCTGTTTCCTTTGTATTGACTTAGTGTTTGTATCTATTTGTGGGTATAATATTTTGATTCATGTACACAATAAGTAGTGGTCAAGTAAAGATAACTAGCATATTCATCACTTTAAACATTAATCAAATTTTGACAGAGTATATTCGAAAGTCCTTTGTTCCCACAATTTTTATATATAGCATGCATCATTGTGGATCACTTTCACCTTTTTGTGCACCAAGTTTCATGTTTCCTTCTGTGTAACACTGATCCCAAGTTTAGTATCTTTTGCAATGCTTGTTGTCCAAAACTAGAACCAAAAGAGGCTTCAGAGCTGTGGAGCTGTCCACTCCCCATTAATCTCAGGTCAGACTTTTAAATATATGTGTATACACACACACACACACACACACACACACACACACACACACACACATATACCTTTTTACAAGACAGGGTTTCTCTTGTATCCTTGGCTGTCCTGGAACTCATTTTGTAGGCTAGGCTGGCCTCAAAGTCACAGAGATCTGTCTGCTACCTTCCTCGGCCTGCCAAGTGCTGGTATTAAAGGTATGCACCCCAATGCTCAGCTAAGAACATAAGTTTTTATTCATATATATCACTTTACATACATACATACATACACACATATATGTATATATATTTATATATAATATATACATATATATTTCTTTTGGCTGAGAAAGTTTCCTGTGACCAGAGATACATGGTTATTCAATGTAGAAATGCAAACCTATTTTTGAGTGAAAATTATTCATAAACAAATTTATTTTTAAAAAATTATCTGAGATAGATATAATTTTATCATTTATTGAAGAGTTAAACACATTTGCATTTTAATGAAATGGATTGCTTGCCTGTCTTACACAATCCAATCCAAATACATGCCGATTTGGTTCTTACATGGTGAATAATGATTTTAGGAGTTCATGAAATCTTTCTTTTTGTAAATTAAACATTAAATCTTATGTAATCAGAAATATTATCTGTAAAGTAAAATCACTGTAGTTCATAACATACATTGGTCTTCAATCTGGACTGTTTCAGATGGTTGTAACAGGTATCTAGAAGTGTTATTATATCTAAGGCAAACATTAGAATGTAATGGTTGTTTCTCACTCTATCTCGGGTAACAGTAGAATGTATTAGTGTTTGTAGAAAGTACCTACACCTTGAAGAAATCATACTAGAGAACAGTGATTGTTTTGTTTGATTTGTAGAGTTGCTTTTCTGAAGGGATTTTCCAACCATTGCATGACTTTGGACACAAGACTGTCCAGGCACACTTGGAAGACTTAAATTACTGTGTATGGCAAACAGTACACAATAAAGACTAAAGGTTGTGGGGTTGTGATGACTTCCTTCAGAGAACACACAGAATAGATCAAAGGAGCTTTGGTAAGAGAAATTTGTTGTATCCCAAACATAACCTTTGTGTACAATTAATAAATATGCTACCGAAGAATGGATAAGGAAAATGTGGTACATTTACACAATGGAGTACTACACAGCAGATAAAAATAATGACACCTTGAATTTTGCAGGCAAATGGATGGAGCTAGAAAACATCATACTGAATGAGATAGCCCAGAACCAGAAAGACAATTATCACATGCTAACTCATAAGTGGTTTTTAAACATAAAGCAAAAAAAAAAAACAGCCTACAAATGACAATTTCAGAGAACCTAGACAACAAAGAGGACCCTAAGAGAGACATACATACATAACCTACATAGGAAGTAGAAAAAAAAAGATCTCCTGAGAAAATTGAGAGCATGGGGATCTTGGGATAGGGTTGAAGGAGGGAGGGTAGAGGCCGGGAAGGGAGAAGAGAAAAATGTAGAGCTCAATAAAAATCAATAAAAATATAAAAATAAATGAATAAATAAAAATATGCTTCTGAACAGAAGTTCAAGATTCACTTCACAGAAAATGTTCCTCCCTGCTTCCAGAGAGTCTAAAATTACATTCTGGGATAACTCTCCTTCTTTGAATGTACCATGCAACACAGAACACCTGACAGATTGTACTTTTGGGAAGTGTGTGAAGTGTAGGACATTGTGCACAATGCAAAGAGACTGTGTCCTATATCAGGAAAAAGGCTTCAGTGAAGTGGAATATGGACATTCACTGCCGTAAACATTTTAGATTTATTCCATGTTTGATTTTTAGATAATTTTTGGTCATCACATATTCAGAAATATTTTATTGTCACAACTTTTTTCAACTCCAACATTCATCCACTCAGTCCCACATAAAGTCAAGAGTTACTTTAATCTAAGGAGTTTTGCTGTAGACAATGAGATATTTTTTAATATATATAATAGGTTTTGATCATAAGCTTTCTCCTTGCCAAACTTCTCCCTGTTCCTCCCACTCTTCCTCCCTACCCAACTTCATGTTCTTTCTCTCTCTTAAAAAAACTAACAAAAAGTCAAAGCAAACAAAAAGAGCACAGAATGAACACACACACACACACACACACACACACACACACACACACACAATGTTAACCATTTTTTGTTGGCCAGATACTCGTGAGCATGAGGCCTGTGCTGGAATGTGGTTTGTATACACATTAGAATTCTTTTGATTCCCTGCTCCACTTTTCCAGCAGCTATCACTTCCTTAGCTAGGGGCAGGACCTTGTGTCTATTTGTCCTTCTTCATACTGGGGTTCTGTCTGGCTTGAACCTGGTTTGAACTTTTGCAGGTATTATGTATGCTGTCATAGTCTATGTGAGTTCAAGTGTATCAGCCCTATTGTGTCTGAAAAATACTGTTTCATTAAAGTTGTCTACTACTTCTGACTCTTACAGTCTTCCTGCCTCCTCTTCAGCATAGATGCCTTAGCTTTGAGGGAGAAGTTATGATAAAGAAAACCCATTTGAGGCTAAACACATGAGAGTCTCACACTCTCTGCTCATTGTCTAGTTGTGAGTCTCTGTGTTCATTACTATCTTGCAGGAAGAAGTTTCTCTGATGAGCGTTGAACAATGTTCTATGGTATAAATATACCATTTGTGGTTGTTTTATTCCTACGTTCCTTTAGCAGAATGATAGTAGTAGGTTACCCTTTAGTATTTATATTATCAATATGGAAAAAAGCAAGGTAGTGGAAGGTGTTAACACAGTAAATGAAGAGAAAAACAATCATCATCAGTTTTATCTAGTGATGAACCTTGCAAATTACAAGAGATACACCCATGGGTGGAACAGTGGCACAAATGTTATAGGAATAATCAACCTCTTTAAAAAATTAGATTTAAGGACAACTCCATAAGATGCAATCCATACCTGACAGTGGTATTGATGTCAAGAACCCCAGACTAAATAGATAATGGGGTCTAGGGGAAAACAGTTTTGAAATGACAATAATAAAACACCAAGTAAATATATTAGAAGTTTTTAATGACTAGGGACTGGGAAAGAAGCAAAATTAAAACAGCATTAAAATGGCAACACTAGGGACCTTGGTTTGATCTAATTCTTCTTATATTAACTATTATCTGTATCAGTATCTCAAGGGTGATACTGCACTATAATTTGTAAGATGTCACCATTTGGCTGCAGAGATAGCTCAGTGGTTAAGAACATTGGCTGGTCTTCCACAGTACCCAGGTATGAATTTTAGCGCTCACATGGTGGTGCAGAACCAGCTACAGTTCCAGTCCCAGGGGACTTTCTGGGATGTGATGCAAAGACATAATAAACTACAGGCAAAATAATTGATACAAAAAATTTAGAATGAGATGTCACCATTATGGAAAGCATTTGTGGATCCCTCCTTTCTCTCTCTCTCTCTCTCTCCCTCCTTCCCTCCCACCTGCCCTTCCTCCCCCTCTCTCTTTCTTTCTCTCTTTCTCTCTTTCTCTCTCTCTCTCACTCTCTCTCTCTTTCTTTCTTTCTTCTTTTCTATTTGTCCTTCCCTCTTATTCTCCCTCCCCTTTCTCTCCTCTTCTCCTTCATGCTTTCATACTTTATTTTAGACTGTATCATATTATACAACACAAATTGAACAAAAACTCATGATCCTCTTGCTTCAACCTCCTAAGTTTTGGAATGGCATGCGTACACCCATTTGACAGGCTGTATTATTTTTACATATTCCATAATAATCTTCTACTCCTAAATGAAAGATTATTTTAAATTAAATTAAGACATTAAATGTACACAAAAAGTTCTTCTTTAAGATTTGAATTTTGATTTTAGCTATGAAATGTGGTTCATATGCACAGGGAGGTTCATCTAGTAATAAACAAAGTTTAAGTGATCAGCATCTGGCTAAGTAAAAAAAAAGGAAATTCACATGTTTCTTATTGTATATGGAATATTGAAAAAGGCATATAAAAATAAGCATATAAATGTATTATATTTCTGTTGCTGT